AGATGACCCGGGCATCTCAGGAGACAGTCTTTGGGAAAGGAATATTCTAGAGAGGTAGGCCTTCGAAGGGATAAACTATGTGCAACAGTAACATAATGTATCTTGAAGAAAATTGATTACTCTTTGTGAAATGAAATCAGAGTTATACATAATGCACGGCTACAATTACTAATGTTCTCTGCTGCAGGTCATTAATAAAGTTGCTCTTCTTCGGTTAGTCTGTTGCGAAAAAAATAAAATGGGAGCTGCTTGATTCTGGCAAAGGCTGAAGTGGATTTTACCTTCTGAGACTTCATTAGTCCTCCTTGTAGTGTAACGCAATACTTGGGAGGTAAATTCAGCAGTACTGGTAGTTGTAAAACTAAAGACCTCAGACTATTTCCCAACTGAACACAATATCCTATCAAAGCCTCTCATAGAAAGGTTTTAAACATGGTCCTCAGGATCACACCCCTAGTGGCCTCTCATAAGCCCTTCAGAAGAATGTCAGATGGTACAAGAGCTCTGCCTTTCAACGAGGCTGCGATTCCAATCCACTCACAGCGCGCACCCATATACTATCCCCTCCCAATGTCCAGGAGACCCAAGCTGGTTCTCCATCTTGGATCCCAAAGATGATTCTTTTTTATTTTTCGTCATCTAGGCTTCCAATTCCTGTATTCCTTTGAATGAGAAAATCTCATCTTCAGGGAAAAACAACCTATTTTGGATACTTCTTCCACAAATCTTTACAAAGATTCTCCAACTTTTTACTTGGACACTGGAAAAGGACTTAAGGAAACTTAAGGAGCTAAGTGGGAACCATGGTGAGGTCTGAAAAACAAATTAGTCCTGGGGGGCCTGCCCCTTAGCTCAGTTCTTTAAGTGGCTGCTTCAACAAAGCAGTCAGGCTCAGCTTGCTGTGGTTCGATCCCCACAACTCAAGCCAGCCAAACCTGCCCTGAAGGTATTTGGAGCAAAAAAAAAAAAAAAAAAAAAAAAAAATCAGTCCTTCCTCAAGGGACACAGTATAGGCTATGGAACCCTTCATGATTCATTCTACATGGGAAGAGATGTTGCATGTGCAATAGTCACTTGAATTTTTGCAGGACCAGGACTAGCAACATCCATCTACCAGGTCTGTAAAGCTTGCCCACTTCTTTTCTACAACAATCCTGCCAAGCCCAAACCACCTCCTTTGTTAGAACCTGTACAGAAGAGAGAAACATACCTTGGAGTGGACTGGCAATTCGGCTTTACCCTCATGCCACCATGTGGGGGATTTAAATGAACCTTGGTCCTAATTGACACTGTCACAAATTGAATTGAGGCCTTCCCTACCTGTTCAGAAAAGGCTACAGAGGTAGTCAAGGTGCTCCTCAAAGAAATTGCCCCTTGCTTTGGACTACTCCAGCCCCTTCAGCTTGACAATGGGCTAGGGTAATAATCTTTTTTAATCTCTCAAATAACTCAGGGTATGGCAAAGGCTTTAGAAATAAAGTACCACTTCTGTTCTACATGGAGACCTCAGTCTTCTGGAAAGATCCAAAGGGCCATCCAGACCCCAAAACTGACACTGATAAAACTTTGCCAAGACACTTCTGAGTCCTGACTTTGATCATTGTCAAGAACCCTTATGAGAATTTGAAACATCTCAAAACCAGGCAAAATGCAGGTCCATTCTAAATGCTGTATGGAAGGTCTTTTCTATCTTCTGATATGGTAGCGGTTCAGGCCATAAGGCTATTATAGTTTCTTATTAATCTTGGCCAAACATAACAATATATCCAATTATATGGGAATAAAGTCCAAGCACAAGATACACAGTTGTATGGGAACAAAGTCTGCTCAGCACCTAGTACACACGCTGGAGACCAAGCACTTCTTAAGACCTGGATAGAAGGAAGCCCAGCAGATCAACTAAAACCAAAGCCGGAAGGCCCTTTTCCAGTATTTTAGCCATGCCAACATTAAAGGTGGCAGGTATGGATAGCTAGGATTGCCTCTCTTGGATCAAGCCTGCCTGACCTGACATGCCTGAGATGACAAATAACCAAACACAAAAGACCAAACACCCTGTGAGCCTGTCAAGGACCTCAAGTACCTTGGAGAAGAAGCAGACGGCTCCAATGACAGGTAAGTCAACTCCTGGTGCACACCCTTCATGATCACACCTTTACATCCTTTGCTGTAATCCTCATTGCCTTAGCTGACTATGGCTCAGACCCCCACCTACTTAAAAGTTTGTTTTAGATTTGTACTGCAGGAAGATCTAGCAAACTATTCCTGGGAAGAGACAAGAATCTTTCTTAAAATAGGACAGATCAGTTGCCCCAGAACAAGTCCACACCAATCTTGGGCTTGGAATGTATATTTTGCATACTTACTTGGTTTATCTCTCTACTGTCTTATCTACTTCAACTTACCCTTTAATGGCATGTTTAAATTAAGATGGGGGCACCTTTAATGTTCTTATCTTTGTGTTTCCACTCAAGAGACGTAAATGCCAACCCCTTATACCTCTGCATCCCTATACTTCCGCAGGTCATCTCTTTCCTACCCTGCCCAGACAGACAGAAGGCTCACAGCAACACCTGAAAGTCTTGGAGAAGGGGCAGTGGTCAACAGCACTTTCATGTGCAGCTAAGCAGCTAAAGACACTAAGACAAAAATTAATGTTTAGATCCAGATACTCACTAGTTTTACAAGCCTGTGCTGCTGTCTGGGCCAGTCCTCTCCAAGATATGCCATGACCAGCTGGGCCAGGTCTGCATTTGCATCACCTGCTTTGATCCCTCTGAATCTTGGAAAGGGTGCTTTTAATGGCTCTCTTGCTATTTTGCTGGTCCCTTCAGGAAAAGGGCAAAAGTTCCTCAGACCTCTGATGATATGAAGGGAACTGACTTCTAAATATACGAAACCCAATACACAACTGTCTTCAAGTCCCAGAAATGGAGGCCCCATCTGTTATACTGTCAGAGGAAAGCTGACTCTAGCCTAATTACTACGGCACAAGGTTGTATATATCAATCCTCTAATTTCTTTTTAGTCAAAAGTCAATCAGACCTGCAAAATGTTCAAAGGCAGATGCTATTTTTCTAGAGGACTCATGGCCCCTGTGAGACACAAGCCAGAACATGTCACCCTCTGGCCGTAGCTCAGATAGGCAGTACTCCCCCACCCTTAGATACGCAGACCCTTTCAGCATAGATGCCAGAAGGCTCTGGCTCTCCTCCTACCTAAGCCACTTCTCAAGCATGCTTTCTCTGTGGGACCCAGGCATGCCTTTGCCTTCCATCCAATGAGCTGGAAAGCTCACCCTAATGTATTTAGTAACTAACTCAAAGTGCTCCAGTTTTTCAATCCAGGTACTTCTCATCACATCCCCACAAAAGTGGTACTGTCAGCCTCCCCAATGTCCTAGAGTCCAGAGTTGAGCTCGTCTGGTTCCAGCTGTTTTAAGCATGTTGACTGGAATTGGTTGGAACATCACCAGACTGTCACATGACATCAGACAAGAGAACTTTCCCTCTTTGACCCAGCAAGATCCAGTAAAAAAATTAATTCCTTGGCTCGAGTCAACCTAAATAGAACCTCCAGGTTCTGGATCTCCTTACAGCTTATCTGGAGGAACCTATGTGATGCTTAAACATCCTTGGATTTTTCTTTCTTTGTTTTGGTGTTTTCAGTAAATGAAACTGGAATAGTCTTAGCCTGAATTCCATAATTTGAAAGGCCAGAGAAAACTATGCCAGCTACCAACGTTCAGTCCATAACAACGATCACTAGATTGATCCTGGTAGAAAATGGATGTCTGGCCTGTTCTCCCGGGTTGCACCCCTCAGGGGCCCCTGACTGCTCTTCACTTTGGGCTCCTGCTTTTCTTAAAGTCAAAACTTCTCTGATGTCTTCCAGGATTCGGCAGCTATTTGTCAGGCTGCGGCCATGCAAGGACTACTCCAAGAGTCCAAGGCCTCCGAAGGCTCCGAGGTCAGTCAAGGTGAGAGTTGTGGATTCCCACACTAGTCGGGGCTATGCCATCCTTGGAAGGAAGCCCTTGGGGAAGAATCTACATCGCCTGCCTTCTGCAACCCGTAAGAAATCGTGGGAAACATGTCTCAGAAGGTAGCTGAGGCGGGTGAGAAATTCCCAGAAGTAGGAGGTCCGAGAAGAGGAAGCCAGCTATCCCCAAGCCAGCAGGGTGCCCTCCTAACAGCTGGGCCAGCGCCGGCTGGTCGGGGGCGCGGGCACGGCGGACTTCGGGCGCCCGAGGCACACCCGCGCTCAGGGCACCACCTCCGCCGGCTAAGCCGAGCCTGTAAGGCGCGCCATGGGGCACGCGGAACGCCGGAAGCGACGCAGCTTCGCGGCAATCGGCTGTACCCCGCGGACGCTGCGGATCTGACCCTGCAGCCGCGGGCTTTGGGCGCCGCCCGCGGACGGAAACCCCCTCTCCCCCGGAAGGGGGCGCCGCGCCCGCCCCGCTCGCCCGCAGTTTCCCGCGCGCGGCTCCGCCCAGAGGACCCCGGCCCGCCGGGCGTGCTCAGCGCC